AAATTGGAGAGGGGAGAAACATTATGTCCACTAAACGGTCCAACCATTAGCTGCGCCTCCACCCATTTTACCGATAATCAACAAACTTTTCTAATAGATACGGGTGCCAACAAAAATCTTATTAAGATATCAAAGTTACAAGGACAGTTAATAATAAATGAACAGAACAAAGGGGATCTAAAAGGCATAAATTCACTTCCAGTAGAAACCATAGGAACTGTCGATATGATTATTAGCATCGAAGGACGAGAATTTTTAATTCGATTCGATATAATATTCGACGATTTTCCAATAAGCCAGGACGGTTTATTAGGTTATGAATTTTTGGAACGGGGATCAATGCACATAGATTTTGAAAATAAGTTACTAAGGATTCCTTACTCGATCAAAAATGACCAAAGTATTATAATACCACCACGGAGCAACTGTATTGTAACAATAAACGCAGAGGAAGCAGTAGGCCATGAAGTTATTACAATTCAAAAACAAGAAATAAATGAAGACGTGATAATTGCCAATAGCCTCAGTCCCGTGCACGGAAATAAAATCGTAAGTAATATAATTAATATCTCGGAGCAACCGTTCGTGATCGACGAGTTGTCCACCGAAAATTTACAATGGGAACCGTACTCCGATCACGTATATTTCATTAATAGCGATCGTGACGAGCAAACGCAGAACACAAAGCATGTCAAGGGCACAACGAATCGTATTCAATTACTAAATAAAGCTATCAAAACTGATGACCTAAACATCGAGGAACGTGACAGTATTATAGATTTATGCAATAAGTATTCGGATGTGTTTTTTTTAGAAGGTGATTGTCTAAACACAACAGACGTGGTTAAGCATTATATAAACACGCCACGCTGCGTAAAACCTATTAACATTCGACCATACAGACTACCGTGGGCGTATCAAGAGGAAATCGAGAAACAGATCAGTGATATGAAAAAAAGCAACATCATAAAAAATTCAATTTCACCTTTTAATTTTCCACTAGTGGTAGTTAAAAAAAAACCGGGTACCGACGGACAAGAGAAATTACGGGTATGCGTCGATTTCAGGAAGTTAAACGAGGTAACTGAAAACGAAGCATACGGATTACCTAACTTAGTAGAAATACTAGAATCCCTTGGATCGTCTAAATACTTCTCCACGTTGGATTTGGCAAGCGGTTATCATCAAATAAGTATAAACAGTGGGGACACACATAAGACAGCGTTCTCAACCAAATCCGGACACTACGAGTTTCTACGAATGCCGTTTGGATTGAGTTCAGCGCCCGCGACCTTTTCAAGAGCAATGAAATCCGTTTTAACAGGGTTGGAAGAATTATGTACCGCATACCTGGACGACATCGTAGTACATGGATCGAGTTTACGCGACCATCAAAATAAATTAGGAAAAGTTTTCGATCGACTACGGATGCACAAACTACAATTGCAACCAAGTAAATGTGCATTTCTAAGAAAAGAAGTACTATATTTGGGGCATATCATAAATGAAAACGGAGTATCACCGGACCCAAACAAAATAAAATGTATCCAAAATTACCCTAAATTGAAAAATGCGAAAAACATAAAATCCTTTCTAGGATTGTTAAACTACTACAGGAGGTTCGTAAAAAATTTTGCAAAAATAGCCAAACCTTTAACAAACTTATTGAAAAAGGATACACCATTTATATGGGATGACCTATGTGAGAATGCATTCGAGGAACTAAAGAAAGTACTAACAAGCCCACCGTTATTGATTTATCCGAAATGGGAACAAGGACAATTCAACTTAACCACAGATGCCAGTCAGTATGCAATAGGGGCAATACTCTCCCAAGGAGAACCGAACGAAGATAAACCTATTGCATACGCAAGTAGGACTTTAAATAAGGCCGAAAATAATTATAGTGTCATCCAGAAAGAATTGCTGGCAATCGTATGGGCCGTTAAGCATTTCAGACCTTATCTTTATGGGCGAAGGTTCACAATTATAACGGACCATCGACCTTTAACTTACTTGTTCAACCTTAAAGACTGTTCATCTCAATTAATGAGATGGCGACTCCAGTTAGAGGAATATGATTATGAAATAAAATATCGAGCCGGGACATTAAACACAAACGCAGACTGTCTGTCTCGGATACACGTGGTTAAAGATGCAGACACTGGTAGCAATGACTACGAATTATTCATAAAAGCTGAAGAAAAGCCGATATTTTATTCACAAATACTTGAAATTGAGGGTAGTATTAAAAATGCAGATCCGACTGATAACTTAATATTACCTATACCAGAGAATTTAATTATTACCCAAACAGCCATTAGGGACATTATTGATAGGAATCAAATAGATTTGTCAGAAAGGAACGACATAAATAATAAATTTATTAAATATAATAAAGATGGGAGAAACATAATATTTTTCAAAATTAAGCCAACGCATTTAAGCGAACTAACTCCTGAAAACATATTATCTGCAATTTCCAACATAAAAAAAAACTGTGAGGAAGACGGAATAAAAAATTTTTCAACGACTCGACTGGAAGGACTGACGACATTAAGCGGTTTCCAACGGGTTCGAGCTATGTTTAGATATAAATTCAAAAATTCAGGAATTACTGTAAAAATTTTTAAAGAACAACAATTTTCGGAAACAGAAAAAAAGAAAATTATTTATGAATTTCACGACACACCAATCGGAGGACATTCGGGAGTATCACGTACAATCAAAAGAATGAACTCACAATATCAGTGGAAAAACTTAAAAAAAGATGTAAAAAATTACATACAAAATTGTGAACTATGCCAAAAAAATAAGACGAACAGGACGATGAGACAACCAATGCTAATCACTACTACCGTCACAAAACCTTTTGAACGTATCTGTTTAGATATTGTGGGTCCACTGCCAAAAACTTCATCAGACAACCTGTACATACTTACTATGCAGGACGAATTAACACGTTATGCCATCGCGGTAGCCTTAAGAACTACCGATGCAGAAACAGTAGCTCAGGCGTTTGTCGAATGCTTTATATGCAATTATGGCATCCCGATATCGGTATTAACGGATTGCGGAACGAATTTTTTATCAGATGTTTTTAAGAAAATGTGCAAACTTTTGGGGATAAAAAAATCAAAAACTACCCCATGGCATCCGCAGACTAACGGGTTTTTAGAAAGATCTCACAAAACTTTAAAAACATATCTACGAAACTTTGTAGATAAAGACAACAACTGGGACCGATTAATATGCTATGCAATGTTCTGTTACAACACGACAATCCATACATCTACAGATTATACACCATATGAACTAGTTTTCGGTAGGAAGCCACAGATTCCATCTAGTTTTCATCAAAAACCAGAAGCACAGTATAATTATGAGAATTATATTTATGATCTGAAGCGAGTAATGCAGGAGGCACACAAAGTAGCCCGCGATAATTTAATCAAAAAAAAAAATGACAACAAAAAATACTACGATAAAAGAAGCAATGAACAAGATTTGCATGTAGGGGATAAAGTCTTGATGAAAAATCAAAATAAGAAAAATACTCTGGGACAAAACTGGTTAGGTCCATATGAGATTACGATGACCCATGACAATGAAAATATAACGATAAAAAAAGGGAGAAAGGATTACCGTATACATAAAAATATGGTAAAGAGATATTTTGAAACAGATTAATTTTAAAATAGTAATTTCCAATAATAATAAAAAAAAAAAAAAAAAAAAAACGACGAAATAATGAATAACAATAAATTAATTGTATTATAGATTTCTCACAATAATTCTACTGGTATGTGTAACCGGACAAATACAACAGTTCAGCGATGAACAGCTACCACAGCAATCGGGAATTTACTTTGAAAATCAAGGACCTATAAAAATTGTAACTACAAGATGGGAGCTAACCGCATTCTTGGACATCACGTATTTGAAAACTGAATACGAAAATATAAAAAAATATGTAGAACTAGCACAAAGCTTTTGCGACAATTTTAGTAGGATAAATATAACAAAAAGCCATTGTGACGAACTTTATGTGACTCTCAAGGGTCTCGCAAGGAAAATAGAATTGAAGGAGAAACTCCTTTTTGAATCAATAGGGTTGCCACATAGGAGTAGGAGGCAAGTAAAAATCTTGTCAACATTAGCCAAAGCGGCACAAATACTGTTTGGAATTTGTGACATTAATTGTTTCACAAATTCTAACAAAAAAATAAACGAAATGCAAAGCACAGGGTTAAAAGAAACCAAAATATTGGAAAGTAAGGTAAAAATTTTGGAAATAGACCAAGAAAGGGAAACAGAAAATATTACAACGAATATAGAAGCAGTATACAATTTAAAAACGTGGACTGACGAAATGAAAATAAGAAACCGAATTATGCAACATTTCGTGCGAATTAACATATTATTAAATCAATACACTTTTGAAATAAACACCTTTTGCGAAATAATTCAGTTAGCCAAAATAGGTCAAATACACCCAAATCTATTTACTAAGCAAGAACTAATAAATCAATTAAGAGACATAAAAGTTAGCGTACCGAGTGGTACAGATTTACCCATAGATATAGAGAAGGGGGATCCATACGAATTACTCGGACTATCGGATGTAATCATATATTATTCAGATAACAAAATAGTATTTAAGATTAATATACCATTAGTGTATCAACACGTACTAACACTCTATCATTTAATCCCTAAACCTGTATGTATTTTAAATAATTGTATATATATAAAAACTAGCTATAATTTTCTAGCAGTAAGTAGATCAAAGGAGCTTTACGCCACTTACGATGAACATGAACCACTAAAATGTAAACGTGCTCATGAATTCCTATTATGTCCAGAATATTACACTTGGAAGAGCATTTAAGGACACAAATAGATGAAACCATGTTCCAGGACAAATACGTCAAAAGTAACCAGATATACAACCTAAACCAAGTAGCAAAACCTGTAGGATATTTCCAAAACAAAAAAAAATGGATGAAAACCACAGGAAATATATCGAAGTACAAAGAAATAATGGGTATTTATTATACGTAATTACCACTATAATACTTATCACAATTTCAATTTTTTGGATCAAGAAAATCAATGAGATCATAACAAGACGGAATACAAAAAAAATACAAAATAGCGAAGAGTCTATTCAGCTTCAAGCAACAGCTCCAACAATGGAACCGTCAGAGCTCGTACCAATAGGAGAAACAACAGACAAAAACGATCTTGCACTATACCCAAAGCTGAGGACGGACTTTTAGGAAAATCTACGGATTTCCCTTCTTAAAGGGGAGGAATGTAGTAAACCTCAAGGTGACACGTATTCATTGATATTCTAAGTGTTCGCACTTTCGTTACCTTGTTACCTACTAACGAAAATGCTCACGTATTAATAGTATTGGTCAACTCTTTAACGACTCTTTCCTTAATCATGTATCACGTAGCACTATTTATTCCTTATTCAAAAGCACGTAGCCTTAAATATGACATTGAATGTTTATATAAATATAGGTGTTTTATGCAATGTAATTTAGACTTAAGTTATTACTGTAAGTACTCACTACGGACACGCGGACTCCTACGGAGTGTTTATTGTCGTCGTGTCCATGCTTTTAATCAAATAACTAATTTAATTTTTATTATTTTACTAATCAATATTATTATACCATTCTTTAACGAAATTCAAAGTGTTGTATTATATTATTTAAAATAACCTTTTCCTTTCAACCATCGGTCGTAAACAACGGAGCTGCACCGTCGTAAAAGAAACGTTGTTCACAGCAGTGGCAGGGCTGTGCACTACAGCTATTTACGGACATTTTCAGTTTTCAATTTTTTTAGTTTTTTTTTCTATAAATATCAATAAAGTTTTAGCTGTTCTGCCAAAAAGTGAAAAATGTAATAAAAGGCTCCTGATATATTGTTACAATATAAATTGAAAAATATTAAAAATACATAGGAACAAATTTTTTTTATAAGTATTTAAAGATCGAATCTTGACAAAATTTATCACATTTAAAATTTAATAATTATATTGTAGCTAAAAATATATAAAATGTTCAACTTTTATAGCTAAGGATTGAAAATTTAAATCAAGGTTCCACGTAAATAGGTTATATATAAATTGCTTTATTCACAATAATATCATCAAATATACTTTGTAATATCGTAGGTTGACTGGCTGTTTCGCTCAGAATCGTTTTTTTATAGTCATTTTAAGTTAAAATATTTACGAAATTACATAATAAAAACCTAGAATAACTATTACGGTTATTTTGTTATGATTGTGGAATATTATTCGTGGGTACTTGAAACTTCTAAAGTACACTATTATATATCTGTGATAGTATCACGGTTTGTTATTCATGTAGAACGCGTTATAAGTACCTACCTAATGGATATTGTGATATACTGATATGATTAATTTGGAATTTATTATAATTTATAGGTATCTACTATCTATTATAGTTCAATTTTTTTTTAATACCATAGATAAGTATATAATATGTCTTATACCTAGACTGACATACAGTCTCCACTCAGAATCGTTTTTCTTATACAATGATATTATATAATTGAATTAAAATTAATAAAATCTACTATGCAGTGACCCCACTTGTAATCTACTGTACAGCATAGCACCTTTTTTAGTTTTTTGTTCTATAAATATCATTAAAATGATATTTGTTGGTAAAAAAGCTTGAAAATGTAATAAAAGGCTCCTGATATATTGTAACAATAGCAGTTTAAGAATATTAAAAATACAATATAAACGCAATTAGGTATCAGCATTTATGCATTTTCTCATTTTATTTCGTATGAACGTTTTATATGAGAAAGACTAGCACCTATTTCGTATTAAATTTCTTGAGTCTATATAATACCTTTTAATGTACATTTGAGTTAAAAACAATAATTAACTATTATTTTCTTTAATTATATAAATTATTTAGGATCCTGTTTTAGATTCTGAGTGGAACGATGAATGTATTGATTTTACAATGATGTGTGTTATTTTATTATTTTATTTTATTTTTTATTTTTGTGTCTGTCATAACGGTTTCGGGCAGTAAAACTGCTTCGATTTTCTTCAACAGCATCTTGTTCGATGGGAAAGTGAATTTAGTTGGTGCATCCGAGAGGCCTTATTTGAAAATTCCCAGTAGTTTTTACAAGCGGCGGGAAGAACAACATATAAATTAAGAAAAAACAGGCATTTTTACACAAAATCGGTTTTTCACAAAATCGATTTTGGCTTTTAGTGTAACTCTTAAACAAATGAATGTATATACATGACATTTTCACTGGTTGTTTATATTTGCATTTTCTATACACGATGAAATATTCAAAATATTATGATTTGTTTTGAACTGTTTAGGAACATTTTCATTTTCCATTTTTTTTTTAGTTTTCTTTCTAAAAATATCAATAAAATTTTATTTGTTGGTTAAAAGAGCTTGAAAATGTAATGGAAGGCTCCTAGTATATTGTTTCAAAGGCAGATGAAAAATATTAAAAATCCTTAGTCACAATTTTTTTGAAAGCATTTAAAGTTTAAAAATTTACAAAATATGGAAAAATCACGAAAATTAGCAAATTATTTAAATTATTTAAATTATTTATTTTTAAAAAATTTTCTTTTTAAATCTAAGATTTGAAAATGTAATACAATATTACTCATAAGTTTGTCTACCTTTATCAATAAAAAAATCTCTACCGGAACGTCAAATTAAATTTTTATGAGAGTTTGGAATTAAAATTTTTACAACATTGGATATTCACTCGATTCCTCAAGTAGCGATTTCCTTATTTTGTTGTAATTCAAAACGAACAACTGTAGATACATGAAAATTTCACTGAATGTTTATATTAGCATTTCCAAAAATATTTACGCACAATTTTTTTTTTTAGCATTTAAAGTTCGAATTTTGACAAAATGTATCAAAATCTCGAAAATTATCAATCATTGTGATTAATAAATTATAAAATGTTCAACTTTTATATCTAAGGATTGAAAAATTAAAACAAGATTCCACGTAAGTATATAGTTAATTCTGTTACCAAAATATCTAAAAAAAAATACATACGCACAGTTTATTTTTATAGTCATTGAAAATTCAAATTTGGACGAAATTACATATCAAAAAACCTAGGCTAACTATTTTAGTTATTTTGTTGTGAATGTATAATATTATTCGTGGGTACTTGAAACTTCTAAAGTGTACAATTATGATTGTATCTATGATAGTTTCACGGTTTGTTGTTGATGTATAACGCGTTACAAGTACCTAATGGATATTGTGATATGATTAATTTGGAATTTATTATAGGTACCTATTATAGGTTAATATTTTTTTTAATACCATAGATAAGTTTATAGTATGTCTTATACCTAGACTGACATACCGTCTTCGCTCAGAATCGTTTTACTTATACAATGATATTATATCATTGAATTCAAATTTAATAAAATCCATTATACATACAGTGACCCACTTGTAACATATTGTACAGTAGAGCACCTTTTTTTCATATTTCGTATTACTTAACTCTATTGAAGTCTCCAAAAACAGAAAAAATTATTCAATAATTTAACATTACACACAAATCCATAATTGATCAATCATACCTAATACTATCTAGTCTATATTTAATTTAAAAAAAAATAATAAAACTATGTTAAATAGTCTATATACAGAATACCTACACACAATTGACATTAACATAATATACATAAATGTGTAGGTATTATATTTATACATTTGAAAATAAAATGATATCAAACCAATATTCAATAGGAAAAAGTGTTTTAATGTCCTCAATATTTACGTCATTTTTTTTCATTCATACAGCTGGTTGGTAAATCTATTTAAGACACGACAAAAAAGGGATTTAGAAGAAGATGATTTATATACGTCATTAAACGATCACAGTTCGTCATTGTTGGAAAACGAATTAGAAAAGTAAAATCATGTGTAAAAAATGTTTGTGTGTGTATTATTATTTGTATTCAACTTTACTATACTTTTATTGAAGGAAATGGAGATTAGAACTTGTGATGCACGTAAGAAAAATCCAAATCCTAGTCTATTGAGAACTTTGATTGGAATATTTGGGTAAAAATTTATGTTTTATGAATTTATACTCTTCGTCGATAAAGTTCTTTTGAGGTAAGAATTAAATGATTGATTTTTTTGTATCGTAATTATTGACACCCATGCAAAATCAGGACTTTTAAGGTTTTGATGTGGTTTAATAACTACGACATCTCTATGACATTATTTTACATGTTTTTACCTCACAGAGTATTCCAACTTTTATTAATTTCATGCAATAATATCATATTTCAACCCAGATGGCTCTGACAAAACGGACTTGAAGTCTGCATTAATTTGTGCATTTGGTCTAGCATTTAGTATGTTATAGCGTTTTTGATTTGACAAAATAGTGTGCACTGAACTTCCACTAGCACTACGCGAGTGTTGCACTAGTTTTTAATAAATCGAATACAATGAAGTGTAATCATGGAAAACAAAATATGTTATCAGATATAAATAATAAATATTATAATCATTATGATAAATAGGAAATTATATAACAATGTGCCCCGTTATAGAGAAAAGCGGTTCATAATTATAAAGTGCACTTATTCCATTGACAAAATCGGCGGTGCAGAAAGTGCGCACTGAGTGCACAGGAGTGTTGCACTGCAGTCAAATCGAATACAAAACACTCCACCAGTTCACAGAATATTGGTCAAACCGAAAACACTATTAGCTTTAATAATTTTGTATCATTCATCACAAACTGAAATCTTACATTGTGGGATGAAAATTCGAGTTGCTTGCTTTTCAATTATTTATAGAAAGGTATAATAATATACTTATATACATTATAAACATTAAGAAATTAAACATTTTGAAATATAAACACAATAATAAAAAGTTGTTATGTTCTAAGCTTTCAATTATTTTATTATGTATTTTAATATTGCAAAAAAAACTAACATAAACAAAATCTTAAAATCAAAAATTGTTCTCGTATTATGTACAAATATTATTAAGGATAATATGATGTATTTTTTTAAAATTATTTGTATATGACTAATCTCTGTCGTATATTGTAGACAGTCGTCAAAATATTATTTCATATATGTAATAGAGGTGGGAACATTTTAAATTGTAAACTATTGACATAGGTCAGTGAAGCATATGTGCTGAGACAGCGATAAGATTACTATATAACACCGCCGCACGCGCAGGCACGGGAGAGTCCCGTTGTCGCTGAGTGAATCGGCGAGGACGTAGGTACTGTGGTCGTACGTGTGAAACGTCGATCGTAGTACGGGCTAGGCAATCCGGATTTGCTAAGTGTTTAATTTATGTTTGTTTTAATATAATAAAAGTGTTTCCGACCTAAAAACCCGAGTTGAGTTTTATTTCAAAGTCTTCTTCGTTCTTACCTTTAATATTGGAACAGTGCTCAGACCCACACACCTATAGTCAATGAGGTTTATTACAAACTGAACAGTGCTCTGGTTGTGGCGTCCTAATAGTCATTCCAATTTAGGAAACGAACGAAGAACTGACAAAACGCTACCATCGTACCTCAAAGGTTAACAGTGCTAATCTGAATATATTCTAGAGACAGTCATTAGCCTAGAGCGTACGAGGGTAAGGTATAAAGTTGGTTTACCGCGTATTATCCAATACGGGTGATACCACAGAGTGGCGCCCAACGGGGTTACTTACCTACGGTCGGAGACATTTTTTTTTTTTGATTTTGTGCCCTGGTACCTCAACCTTGGCAAGTTTAATTTTTTTTGAAAGTGTTTACGTACGAGAAGTACGACAGTTTTTACGTGTAGTCTGGGAGAGATTCCCTTGACACACCATTTTTTTTTTGGTACAAGTGAAGTACAACAATTGTGCACGTTTCGGATAGTAAAACCCGGAGCGAGTTTAAGTGATTTTTTCCGTTAAAGTAAAATATACCTTTTGTGTTTTGGGTGCAGTGTAAACCCAGAAACGCAATTTTTGTGCGTGTGTATACCGAGTGAGTAACACATACGCGTTCGATTTTCGTCTGACCGACAAGACAACAGTTTTGTGCCGCGTGGTACAATTTTTGCAACCGTGCGTCTACAAGTATACGCCAAGGTGAGCAACGTTTTGTAATATACTTAATACTTATATTAGGATTATAGATTAGATTTTTCTTAAAACAATTTAAATAGAATTTTAGTTCAATAATTTTTCAAAATTTTTTTTTCGATTTTAAATATTCGCAAAATTTTAATTTAAGTTTTAAACAAGTAGATTAGGTTTTTTTAAAGAAACTATTTAAATAGGATTTTTTTTTTAGTTCAATTTTTTTCTCTCTACTTCTCTTTTACTTTTCAAAATTTTTATTTGATATAATTATAACCGCAAAAATATTTTAATTTAAGTGATATACTTACGTATTAATATTAGGATTGTAGATTAGATTTTTTTTAAATTTAAATAGGATTTTTTTTATTCAATAACATAGTATTATAATTAATCTAGTAGTATTTTTTTTTTTTTTTTGTCAAACTTCTTAATAATTTAAATTTGTAGGGATTTTACCAATAGTAAAAAGTAGGTTAATTGTAGATAAACATAATTAAAAACCGTTAAAATGTCCTAGTATAGATTTAGGATTATTTAAATTAATTTTTCAAATTTTATAAATTAATGAATCAACTTAAAGACCCTAAATCGGATCTTTCAATAACAATAAATACTGCAACAGAAATTTATACTCTCAAAAAACCATTTCTTATTAAATATTGCGAAAATAAAAAATTAAAATCAACAGGTACAACTAGTGAATTAAGAGCTAGACTTAGTAGATACTTAAAAGGCACCATAACATTAGACGACATAGATAACAAATTAAGCAAAGAAGAATGCGATTTAATTTTAATCAAAGCAAAAACTAATAAAATCGATTTTAAAAAATTAGAAAAAGAAGCAGGAATACTCGATTCGAGCGATTCAAGCACTGACACAAATACAATTAATAAATTAACTTCAGACAGCTTTTCAGAAGTATCAAAAGATAATTTAAAATTATACGATAATCTTAATGCCAGTACAAGCTCATTTGTGAATAAAACAAAAAATATTCTAGAAAATTCAGATATAACTTACCAAAATTGTCAAAAAGAAAGTTCTGATACTTATGAAAATATATTAAAAAATCTTAAGATTAATGATACTTCTAATAATATTTATGAGGAATTAAAATTAAATACTCAACCAGAAAATTGTGAGATTATTGAAAATAAATTAATAAATCTTAATAATTCAACAACTATTGATTCTAATAACACAAGGGAAAAACCAAAATTCAAAAACGAAAATACAGCAATAAATAATCAAAAAGGAGATAACGTAAACTCTGAAATTCATTCTACTCCATTAAACAAACAAACACAGAAAATGACAGAAAAAATTCTAATGATTAGACCAGACCAGTTCTCAGGTAATGAGGACGTAAGAAAATATTTCAAGCAATACGAAAAAGCAGCAGATGTAAACGGTTGGAAGGACGAAGATAAAGTAAGATTTTTATCGATATTCGTAAAAGGTACAGCAAGTATATTTTTGGAAAATTTGGAAGACAAACAAAATAATTGGACATGGAATAATTTGAAACAGGAGTTTCTCGACGAATTTCAACCAATGGGTTACAATACAATTTTAAAAACTAGATTAGAAAATAGACGTCAAGGAGATACAGAGTCTATAATGAGTTTTGTAACAGAAATAGAAAATATATGTAGACAACTAAATAAAAATATGCAGGAAGAAGAAATTTGCACTTATATTTTAAAGGGATTAAAAGAGACAGTCTTACATGCGATTTCATTACACGACAATAGCAACCTAAAGGAACTAAAGAAAAATTTAAAAAAATTTGAATTGATGCAATTTCGAATTAATAACAGAGGACCAGAATTAAGTGATTATACAGAATTGCTTAATGAACATGTATCTCAACTAAACCAAAAAACAAAAGAAAAAGGAAGAGAAATCGATGAACTAAAAAGACAGTTAATAGAAAGAGATAGAGAATACAAAAAGGAGATGAACCAGTTACGGGAAAATATTCAACAAATCAACATTACAGGAAGAAGAAATAAATGGGTAAACTTCGATGATGAAGAAATAGATAATCGATATAATAATAAAAATTATAATTATAATGAAGATAGGAGCAGAAGTTATAATAGAGAAACAAATTACCGAGGACGACAACGTGAATACAGAGACCAAAGTCCATATCCAGGAAGAACAGATCACGAAGGCAGGAACAATTATAGGGAAAAAAGTCCTTATTCCGATAGGTACAACAACTATAAGCTCAGAGAAAGCAGTAGAGATAGATACAATAACAATAAATATAGAAATAACAGTAGAGAAATGAGCAATAATAGAGATAGGTCTAACTCAAGAAATAGGGAAAACTCCTACGACAGATCCAGAGATAGAGATAGTTATAAGAACAGAAATCGTGAAAATGACATAAGTAGGAAACAGCACAGTAGGGAAAACAGCAGAGAAAGATATTCAAGATCCACGACGCCGGAAGGATTTAACAGAAGAGAAAAAATAACATGCTACAAATGCAATAATAAAGGACACTATGCTAGCGATTGCAATTTTTCAAAAAACGAATAGCACCCGAGCAAAGAGAAAAATCGGAATATCTTACTCGGGGAACAAATAATATTTATACAAAAGCCGACAACTCAAAATTTAACAAAGAAAAGCAGATTGAGAAAAATAATTATATACATTTTGTAGAAAATTGGTACAAATCAACAAATTCAAATAAATTAATAACTAATGAAATAAACGACGATGACGAAAAATCTATAGAAAACATCGTAACAATAAGTAGTTTGAACCCACTAAATGAATTCCAAAAATTCCTACTCAGCAATAACGATAGAACCGATTTCCTATGCGATTACAGTGAACAGACGGTAAATATTTTTTCATTACCAAATGATATCGCAATCGGCCATTGCACAAGCCAATGCCTCACCATGTTGAAGGGGATCGCATTACAATTTAGAAATAAATTTAACAACGTTCGAAATTTAATAGACCAAGAAAAAAAACCGACCGAAATTGCTTATTTGAAAAACGGAAGACAATGGATTCTATACCTCATAACAAAAAATAAATATTACGACAAACCAGCATACACTAACATTTTTAGCACATTAACTAATACTAGGCAATTTTGTATAGCAAATAATATTACTACCTTAGCATTACCCAAAATTTGCACTGGACAAGACAAAAAGGATTGGAACGTTATTTCTACCATGATCAAGTTTATTTTTCAAAACACGCAAATAAAAATTTTAATATGCCTACTGCCGAGCAACGACAATGAAAATAAATATTATAAAAACAATGATTCCCAAACTACTAATATTACGATAGGTAAAAATTTTAATAACACGATCAGTGATAATTTAAAGAACGAAATCGCACTAATAGCTGGCTCATTCATAAAAACGAAAGACGTACCCGGAGACGGTGATTGTGGTGCCCACGCACTACGAATATGCTTGAAACAACATGGTATATATAGAAAGACGGTAGAATTATTAAATATGCTCGGCATTCCTAATTGCAAATCTGGCTACTATTTTAAAAATGACGATCTAGCATTTATCTGTGACCAATTTAATTTAAATTTATATTTAATACACGAAGATTCCGAACATACAAATGCCATAATATACTGGAAATCAAATAGGAAAAGTATAGGGATATTCGAAAAAGATTATAATTGGACACCAGGAATTATCACAAAAATATATAAACCACGTCAATTCAATAACATAATAATAAACACAATTTTTCCCGACTTTAATACTGTAGAAAAAAATATAGAATATTTCTTATACGAATGTTTCGATCGCTTAAAATTATCACAACAAAACACAATAGAAAAAAATAAAACCGGCAACAATTTTAAAACTGACAAATCAACAATATGGTACTCACAATTTTGCCAAGACTGCGAATATTTGTCTACAACCAAGGATGTACTAGACGACCACGATGACAAAGAAGAGTATTGGAGTGAGGGGGGAAACGTTATGTTTTGTGAAATATGCGGAAACTACATAAGAGAATATCGGAATCGGCCCATACAAGAAGACGAGAAAGCCATAGAAACCAAAAATCAGCTAATTCAACACAAAGACGAAATTAAAATCAAAAATCAAAATACAAGCGTAGATTCAGACACAGACCGGAAACAAAGAGTGCTATCCATAAAAATAAAACTAGACGGCAACGAACAAAATGCAATAATAGACACAGGCTCAAATCTATCATGTATAGATTATTCCCTAGTTAAAAATAAACAAGAAATTAAACCCAAAGAACAAATAAAAATAACAGGCGCAGATAATAATGAACTAATACAAAAAGGAACAACAGAAGTAACAATTACAATCAACACACTCAAATATAAAATCAAAGTATACGTCATTGAAGGACTAAGTTGTAAACTACTATTAGGAAACGATTTTAATATCAAATACAACATAATAATCAATTTTAAAAATAAAAAAATAAAAATCGAAAACAATTCTATAAATATGGACGAAATATGGTACGAACACAATAGAAGTCATAACATAAATATTTTTGCTACTGGAAGCATTATGTGTAAAAATCAAAATAATGAAACTGAAATAAAAGACGATCAAGGCACAATAATAAACATTTCCAAGGAGCTAAATAATGATCAACGCGTAAAAGCATGTAAATTGATAAAAAGGTTTAAACATTTATTTACATCCGACCCATTAAACATAGGGTGTGCAAATGTGGAGCCCTGCGAAATAAACTTAAAATCCGACAAACCCATATTCCAGCCACCATACAGAACACCCCCAATTCAAAGAGAAAAATTGAAGAAATTAATCAATAAAATGATAGAAGCCGACATTATCGAACCAAGCCGAAGTAATTACGCGGCACCAGTATTTTTAATTCCGAAAAAGGAGAAAGGCGAATACAGATTTCTAGTAGATTATAGGAAATTAAACAATGAAACAATTAGTGACAAACACCCTATACCTAGATCACAAGACCTTTTTAGAAGCTTAGAGGGAGCAAAATACTACAGTTCTATCGACCTTTGCCAAGGTTATTTTCAGATTCCGGTAAAAAGGGAAGACCAAGATAAGACAGCCTTTATCACGGATTTCGGTCTATACAATTTTAAACGAATACCTCAAGGTTTCAAAAACTCGGGCCCGATCTTTCAAAGAGTTATCAACAATTTATTTAGTGATTTTTTATATAGAACAATGATAGCATACTTGGACGATATATGTTGTTACGGAAACGACTTTGAAGAAGCATTATACAGACTAGAAGAAATATTTAAAAGACTAGACGAAGCCGGATTAAAATTAAAAACTAGCAAATGCGTACTATTAGGTACCGAAATAGAATTATTAGGGCATAAAGTATCAAATAAAGGACTAACACCGTTAGAGAAAAATATAAAGGCGATAAAACATTTTCCAATACCCACCAAAATTAAAGACGTAAGAGCTTTTATAGGACTAACTAGTTATTACAGGAAATATATTAAACATTTTGCGAAAATTGCTACTCCACTCACCGATCTAACAAAAAAGGAAAATAAATTTCATTGGGACAGCTCTCAAGATAATGCATTTAATATATTAAAAAATGCCATAATAACGGCCCCCGTACTAGCTCATTTTGAGGACGAACACCAAGTTTTCGTAACCACGGACGCATCACTAGAAGGACTCTCGGGAATTTTAGAACAAAACGACAAAGATGGGAAACGACACCCTATAGCTTTCGCTTCGAGGAAATTAAAAGGATGTGAAAGGAACTTCACTACCACTGAATTAGAAATGTCAGCAGTTGTTTTCGCAGTGAACTATTTTAAAGAATATTTGTTAGGCAGAAAAGTAATAGTATTTAGTGACCATTCTAGTCTACAATATTACCAAACAATGAAAAATCCATCGTCCCGAATAACAAAATTTATTTTCAAATTATTAGAATTCGACATTGAAATTAAACACCGACCCGGTCTTTGGAACACAGCGGCGGACTGCTTATCACGATACCCAGTAGACACGTTACAAGTAAAAGATATTTTTGATACTACAGAGACAGAAGAAATAACTTTTGACACAATAAATATAGAAAAAATTAAAGAAAACCAATTAAACGACGAATTTTGCAAAGGCATCATAACAGCAATAAAAGAAAATAATAATTCAAAATACAAAAGAAAGTCTAGACAATTCCTAATTGAAAACGATATTTTATTTTTCAAAAATTGGTCACCAAACGGAGTCAAAAATTTGTTAGTAATACCCAAAAATTTAGTCAATATAGTACTAAAATCTTACCACGAGTCAGCACTATCAGCACATTTCGGAATCACCAAAACATTAGCAAGACTAAAGAAAAAATATTACTGGCCGACAATGATACAAGACACAAACAAATTCATAAAAACATGTGCGTCATGTCAATTTTCAAAAGACCAAAATGGTAAAAAGCCAGGTTTATTACAACCTATTCCGTTAACAGACACAAAACCCATGTCTAGACTATGTTTCGATTATTTAGGACCATTACCAATGTCAAAAGGTAAAAAATATTTAATAGTGGCTACTTGCAACGCGACCAAAATGGCTTTTGCAAAGGCTGTTACAAACGCAGACGCAGCAGCGACCATCGATTTTTTATTTGACATAATAACTACCTACGGTACACCAAAATACTTCGTCAGCGACAGAGGTACACATTTCAAAAATACCGAAGTAAAAAACATATGTGAAAAATTAGGAATAACTCAAATTTTTTCGACTAGTTACCACCCCCAGAGCAATGGAATGACCGAATTAATGAATAAAATTATATGCAACGCCTTAACACACTACGTCGACAATAACCAAAAAAATTGGGCACTATATTATAAAATGATTATATTTGCGTATAATACACACCCACACGCAAGATTTGGTTACTCCCCATTCTATCTAATGTACGGCACGGAGGCAACGCAACCTCTAGACAACAAAATCATCCCACCCGAAATAGACAATAATAGAATCGAAGAAATAGTACAACTACAAAAAATTAGGCAAGAATTACCAAAATTAATAGCAGCAGAACAAATAAAGCAAAAGAAACAGTACGACAAGAACCACAAGGAAGTGGAATACCAACCCGGCCAAAAAGTGCTAGTAAAAATAAAATTCCAGAAACAAGGAGAAACAAAAAAATTGGCGCACAAATACAGAGGCCCATTTGAAATATTAGAAAAAATTTCGGACGTAAATTACAAAATTGCATTAACACTAAATGGAAAAGAAACAACGGATACTATACACGTAGATAGACTAAAGCCATTCCACGAAGAATTAAATTAAATAAATAAATAATAATACTAATAAGTAATAATGTAAAAAAAAAAAAGAACAATTAATCAAATTATGTAACATTATGAAATTCGTATATTCATATATATTTATTTTTATTTTTATTTAAGTAACAAAAATAATAAGTAAATTAAGTATATGTCACATATAGGTTAAATTAATTCTAAAAAAAAAAAAAAGGGTGTTAAAATATATATAAATAAAAAACAAAAAAATAGAATGTATTTTCAGCATAAACAAAATTCACGAGTCAACAGACAACAAGCCGCAACAATCTTCTGAGACAAAGTGCGAATATAATATTTTCAAAGTAGACAATAAGCATTAAACCAATAATTATAAAAACAATAAGCAAATACCTTTTCATACGAAGACACGAGGAAGATACTGCAGTCAAAACTGAAGTTTGAAAAAATAATATATGAGAATATAATATATAAATAAAAAAAAATATATATATACAGATTATAAGAAGAAAAACTAAAACAAGCAAGATAATAAATACTTACCTTATGAAATACAAAAAGAGAAGGAGAATTAACTACCACAGAATCGAAGAATAAAATGCCGTAGAAGAACAACAATCATTTACTGCTATTTGTCGAAATAAAAATATTATACTTCAAACTGAGAAAAATCTATAAGAAAACATTTTCCACAAAGAGCCAATCAATAAATTATTATAACCTTATATGTATTCACATAAATTTTTGTATCTATATTCTGAGCAAAAATTTCATACATTATAATACAGTATAAAATACAACTCAATTTATATTTATATTATAAAAAAAATTATTAATCATTAATATGTATTTATGAATTATATGTTTCTAATTGTTTCTAGATCCTCACATAATATTGCCACAGGTAGAGATTTTTTTTTTGTATTCATATTTCGAGTTAATTTTATACAGTATAAAATAATTACGGCGGTTGAAATATCGATTTGTCTGTTTTAAATTTAATTTGTTGTAATTAGTGTTAATTATTTTGTATGTTTAATTCGTGAATTGTGGCTATTGTCATTCCTTTTGGAATATTACTATATACGTTGGAATAATTGTATAAGATTACTTCGTTAGAATAGTCTACTATCTGGGTTTCTAGCATTAAATATTTTTCGCTGCCTAGGCAGTCTGTAGGATTTATTTTATACTGTGTTAGTATATCATTGCTTGTTTAAAAAAAAAATAAAAAAAAAAAAAACAACGCATTAAAAAATAAATTAGTAAATTAAAATTAACATTTAAGCATAATTTTATAGTCAACGACGCGAATAAGCCGAGACAGAAATATAGTGTAAAAGTAGATTAGTATTTAATGTAGTAATAAGACATTTGTATGTAGAAACATCATTAACAATGAGGGCATTTTTTCAAAAAACAATGGGGACTGTCGTATATTGTAGACAGTCGTCAAAATATTATTTCATATATGTAATAGAGGTGGGAACATTTTAAATTGTAAACTATTGACATAGGTCAGTGAAGCATATGTGCTGAGACAGCGATAAGATTACTATATAACACCGCCGCACGCGCAGGCACGGGAGAGTCCCGTTGTCGCTGAGTGAATCGGCGAGGACGTAGGTACTGTGGTCGTACGTGTGAAACGTCGATCGTAGTACGGGCTAGGCAATCCGGATTTGCTAAGTGTTTAATTTATGTTTGTTTTAATATAATAAAAGTGTTTCCGACCTAAAAACCCGAGTTGAGTTTTATTTCAAAGTCTTCTTCGTTCTTACCTTTAATATTGGAACAGTGCTCAGACCCACACACCTATAGTCAATGAGGTTTATTACAAACTGAACAGTGCTCTGGTTGTGGCGTCCTAATAGTCATTCCAATTTAGGAAACGAACGAAGAACTGACAAAACGCTACCATCGTACCTCAAAGGTTAACAGTGCTAATCTGAATATATTCTAGAGACAGTCATTAGCCTAGAGCGTACGAGGGTAAGGTATAAAGTTGGTTTACCGCGTATTATCCAATACGGGTGATACCACATCTCATTCACATCTACTTATTGTGCCATGTGGTATAGATCGTAGATTGCATTTAAAAATATTGCAATATTAACTAGTTTTTTTGCTGCTCAACAAATAAATTTAATTATAATAATAAAATAAGTTTCAAAAACTCTTATAAAATGTAATTCAAATATATATTTTGTACCCAGTCATTACGTCTAAGCCACACAGCTATTGGTGATACCACATTTGGTGGATTAATTTGTTATCGAATGATGTAAGTCGATTTGATAAATCAGTTACATTTCTCCACTACTTATGGATTTGCCCACTCCACATAATTGTTTTCATGTATTTGTTGTGGCAGGAAATCGGTGTATCTTCATTATTACCCATTGTTGTACTGTGTTTTGTTATTTGGATTCAAGGTTTGTGAAAAATTAGACAAGAAAAATTATATGACTAAACAATATTGTTACATTTTCAGTAATGTTAGGACAAAAACTTAGAGAGCAGCGGAAGAAGACAGCTAAAAGAACTGACGAAAGAATACGTTTAATGAATGAAATAATTTCTGGCATAAAAGTATGCCATAATTTTTATTATATATTTGGACCAACTACGTTTAAGTTGTCAGTCCTAAGTCTGAATAAATTGTTGTGTGGGAACTTACTAAACCCCCTTCCAGTTAGGAATAAGTATACGGTTACTTTTCGAGTAAAAACATACCTCGGCTGTGACAAAGTTGTGAGACTTAGGTTGGTGCGATTTTGATTCAGTAACAATCCTAACAATTATTAAAACGTCTTCTAAAGAACGGTCTAAGAATTTTTTGGAAATATTAATTTCTTCAATACATAATACGGTTGAACAAAAAATTTGTAAAAACGGAAATTTGTAAATATTATAGTTTGTCAAAAGTTTACACTTTAAAAAAAAAAACCTCCGACCGTTCTCTTGGAAAGAAATGTTATTATTTGCTGCTTTATCATTTTTTTTTTTTTTTTGTTATTTACAGTCTGACCAGTTGCCTAAGGAAAAAAAGTCTCGAACAAAATATTTCCGTACGGTGTTTATCTACCATTAGCAACAAAAAAACTAATTTTTTCATTTTTTTTTCGGTAGTCGAGCTTAAAAAATGTAACTTAAATTAATATCATACAAAAATAAATAGTTATAATTACATGATACATCGCCACAAATTTGCTATACAATAGCTTTACCTCGGCAGTATCCGAGTGCCTCAGAAATTTTTTTTTTTTTTAAGCCACTGCTGCTCATCGGTGAATCATCACTATTCATTCATGAAGGTGCTTGTTATGGATACAGAAACAATTGTCGAATTTGACCACCCACATAATTTATTGCAAAACAAAGAAGGCGCTTTTACAAAATAGTAGAACAAACGGGCACGACAATGCTGATTTATTACATTGATTATCCGCAGAGGTATAAGTTTAAAACTTCTATGCGTAGTACCTAATAATATTCTTACTCTGAATAACGTATAATAAATGCTACATTTATAAATTTATTGATTAACTGTATTGGAGTTATAAAACTACAAGTTTAAATGTTGTAACTTAATCAAAATCATTCATTAAGAATACAAATCAAATCACCAAGAAAAACGCATAGTAAATTAGTATAAATATTGAGTGATTGTTTATATTTCAAATTGAAGACATAGTATCAGGATTTGACATAATGTGTGATCTAAAATAATGTCATTAAATCGTTTTTATAAAATACAAATCCGATTAGCAGTGACTGTAGACTATAGAATTGTTGAATGTGTCATATTTTTAATCACCTCTTAAATGTTGAATAATTATATACTTTATAATTTTTAAATGTACACGTGGAATAATTGTTTGCTATAATAATGATATATATAATTAGTAGTACTGTTAGTTAATATTATATGTTAGTTTTGACAAAATTTTAAAATTTTAATTAAAAAAATATACCAGTATGTTTTATATAGTACCTATATGTATATTACATTAATTTAATCTCTGATATTATATTTACATCACAAAAATTTAAAAAAAAAATTGCTTTTCGATAAGTTGGCCTTCACACCAATTTAGTGTCACAGTCACACTGCTGGCTGTTCAAATTAAATTCGTGACTTAAGAATATAATCACTTACTTTAATTGTTCAATCTCAAACATAATTGTTATCATAGCAATGCCATATATTATGGGTTTTGATCTACTTGAAAATAACTTATATTTTTTCATAAACAATAATATTGAAAAATCATGTAACCAATATATTATTGTCATGCTATAAAACATAAATTAATATAATATATTTTATAAGTCGTGAAAAAACGATTTAACAAAAGGGTCCAATGTGTACGTACCTAAACGACACAACTGTTTTCATCAGTATCGTCAATTGTATTATATAATAATAATAATAATCGCTTTCTTCAGCATGTTATTATTACTATGTTTCGTCATTTCTCACGTCGAGAGTTCTGACAGTACCTACTGCAACACACGCCGGTCGGGTGTCCCACACTGTTATGCGGAAAACTCTTTTAACTTAAAATAGCCAAAATAATCCAACTTTAAGTACTCTACGAGGTTACTCAACAAGTTTTGCAGACGTAATCGTTTTTGAGAGGTAAGTAAATTCATTGTTTGTACTAAAACCGATATTGTCTATTAAGCACTTACTTTTATCAAACAATAATATAGGTACCACTAATCAACTTTTACACTTATTGTAAAAAAGTAGCCATTAGATATTATGTTTAAATTAAAAAATTAATGAGAATAATAGCAAATTGTTTTTCTTAACTCGGTCAGAGTTCAGTTGTTAGTGTAACCGAAACTGCACGTTCTATCAATCAAATCGTTTAAAAGGGTCCCTTACGAAGTTCCTAACGAAATTTAAACAATAAAAAACAAATAATAAAACATATTTCAACAGATGTACAATAATAATATGTAGAATATATTTTCTAATGTAAAAATTAAAAATAACGATAAATAATCTGTTTTTAAATGATACATAATATTGATAATATTGTGGAATAAATATGACAAATGGTAATTTTTTGAAATATGTCCAATTAATGGTAAACGAAATAAAAAACTATAATATAATAACCATTGTTAACATTTAAATGTAAAATTTTAATTTTAATTTTTTTTTAATCAAAATTATATTTACAATCTATAATATTATTCTATAATATACTAAGTAAATTTGGTAGCTTAAAAAATACAAAAAAATGAAAAAAAATGTAAGAAATAGTCCTACGTCATTGTTAAAACCCTCTGATATGTAATACTTATACGCTAATAAAACTTAATAATAAGGAACAATTAATAATCACATTAAGTACAATGGGTTAAGTTATTTTAGTACCAAAAATTAACACATCAAAGACCATTTTTTATCAGAAAATAAAAACATTATGCATCACCTAATAATAGTTTGTTTCATAATAATCATAATACAATTGGATAAGATAAGGAAGCCAATTGAAGCCTCAATCTGTCTTGCTACGTATATGAGATCATTCATTATTGTACTATTATCAATACAGTATACAGATAACGGACACGGGTATAGAAAATAAAATACCACAATAAGTAAAATTACATTAAATAGACGTAATATAATGTGAAAATGTGATAAATAGGTACCATGTTTAATAACAAATATTAAATTAATATTTAAGTTTTTTCTCAGCTTCCCAATAATATCCATTTTTTTTTTTTGTATAAATTAAAGAAGGAGAAAAATTAGAGAAAAACTTCAAAATAATAATAACTTAACAGTTATTTTAACTGAAGATACGCGCTTTACATTATGTACAGGTAAATTTTTGAATTCTCGTATTTATATTTATTTAAAAAAAAAAAATGATTAATGTTTTGGAGCTTATTTTAGGTTAATATCAGATGTTGATAAAAAAGTACAACGGCCTCAGCATCCAAGGGAATATGCAAATATTTTTGAAATCATTTCATACAGGTAAATAAGTAGATCCGTTTAAAGTAAGTACCTATACACATTTGAATAATAAATTGAATATAATATTATCTCAATACGCTCTTGACCTTAGGTTTTTAAATATTATAAACGGACTGTTGGCCCTGTAATAACATGTCTTAAACTAAAATATTTCGAGAGTGCAGGACAAATTGATTAATATATTATTATATTATACGACTGTTCGAAATAAGTAGTATTTTCTGAAGTGCACACTGTACATCAACTATAGTTATTATTTGTTACTCATAATCTTAACGAGGCATAAATAGAGTGCTAACCTACTGCTGATTATAATACAACATAATAATATTGTATACATATTTAATTATATAGTACAATTATTATAACACTATCAACAGTAATAAAAATCTAATTAATCTATCGTATTATATTAATAAGTGAAACAAACGTATGATTCCAGTACAATTAAATTTCGAAATAGTACCTAGTACGAATTCACTTCCTATTTTCGGTAAATAAATTAAGTTAGTATGACCATAGTATTCAAAATAGAATCACTCAATCAGCACAATTAAACATTTTTATTAATTTTGTAACACCCGTTTGTCGACAATCGCACTTCGTGGCTACAATATCTAAGAATCAATACTAAAATAAACATTATTTTATTTTTTACTTTCTCAGTTCCATCATTGACCTAATAAATAATTCAACTAAAAATATGATATTTACAACATTATTTTATGCATTTATAATATATTGATATAGAAATGGATGCCCGTCTGTTCGTTAGCTATAATGCCTCAAAAATTACTGGACCGTCTTCAATAAAAGTTATATCAATAGATTCCTTGAAACTTAGAAGGTGTTTATATCGTATTCATTCAACCCCAATTATAGGTAGCTGAATTATGAAATGAAATTTCATTTTGGCTCACGCAAACGGAATATTTTTATTTTGTTTATTATGATCAGTAAAAATATAGAATAATTAATATGATTAGATTCTGAACATATGATAAATGTATTGATTTGCCAATGATGTGATTTTTTTTGTGTCTGTCCTGAGTTCTGACCTTCTTGGGTCAAAAATCTTGAAAATTTAATATATGGTTCTTTATAAGATGTTATAATAGCATTTGGATAAATATTAAAGATTCACAAGCATGAATTTTGTTGTATAAATATTTAAATTTCAAATTTTGACAACATCTATCAACTTACTTAGTAATATTATTGGCTGATAGATCGTCATAGCTCAGAATCGTTTTTCCTATGCCTAGAATTATTATTGAATTCAAACTTAACACATCTATTAAGTACAGTGCCTCTCTTGAGCGTTACCTACTTTTTTTATAAATATATTTATAAAAAAAAATTAAATTACTTTTTTAATATTATCATATGTATTGCTAATATGGAAAATGGACATTTGGGAAAGATTTAGTATCGATGGTTATTATTTTTTGAGCTACAATAAAATCGATTTTGTTAAAAATTCGTTTTGTAAAAAAATTCCCATTTTTCCTTAATTTTTGTTTTTCCCAGTGGGTTTGAAAACTTCTGGAAATTTACTTTTAACCCTCGAAGTCCAAGTAGATTCAATTCCTACTAGAAAAAATGCTGAAGTAGATAATCGCAGAGTATTTTCACTGCTCCAAAAGTTAATGACAGATGACAGACAGAAAAGAAAGAAGAAATAAAAAACACACTTCATTGTAAAATGAATACGTTCTTTCACTGAACTCAGAATCTAAAAAAAAAAATATCTTTGGCACGTCCACATGGGCAACGCCGGTCGGGACAGCTAGTCATATATAATTACCTTATGACCTATTAATCTAATAAATTATCAACCCTTAAGCAATTTTCCATTTCGAATTAAATTAATTTCGCATTTTATTTAAATCCATTTTTTCCGAACGTACTGTACTAATACTAGGAGTACATATACTACGGATTAGTATAAAACGCACTAAAATATAACAAACGTATTTACCGTACTACGAAGTACTCACTACTAAACGCCAAATGGACTGTGTTGAGTGTGATGATAACATAACAGTTTTAATAAAACACATAAATATCACGATAAATATATGCGATAGGTGATAGCTTGGCCGAAATTTGTATTGTAGCTAAATAGTATACGGACTTTTGATCCCCTTGACATTTGTTACACAACCGTAATCGAAGGAATTCAATCCGAAATCGGTTGATAACTATATTTATGTTTATAAAAAAATAATAGTTTTTTTAAATGCAGTGTTATAATAATTTGTTATTAAACAGTGCATTTTTAATTATTTTAATTTTATTGATAATGGTTATTATTTTTATTACATCTACTAAATATATTTTATAAATACAAATGCTGAGGTGTAAATTGTCCTGTATGTACAAATCCTAAGTGTCACAGATCGACTGTGAAATGTCCTAGATTCAGATAAATATAAATAATTAATAAGGGATAATTTTGTTTATATTCTCAATTTAAAATTTAAAATTAGTAAGAAGAAAGAGATGCGTGATAACATTGCTTAATAAATTGCTGAAACAATGACAATTTCCGGTCAATGATACAATTTATTAAGAGTAGTCATTATTTCCTAAATTGTCAACGTTTCGGTGACATATATATTATGTATATTCATATTATGTTTAATGCCTTAATATTAACTAGTACTATTATACAAGTTAATCTTATAGGAACAAGTATTTAAAGTATAACACAAATAATAATATATACTTACTTGTTTCCAGTTCTTAAATATAATATATTATTAATTATATTTTAAATTATTTACTGTCGTTTAGCTGGATGTTAAATCTGTTCAAAACAGGACGAAAAAGAGATTTAGATGAAGATGATTTGTATAAGACATTAAGCGATCACACTTCATCATTATTGGGAAACGAATTAGAGAAGTAATTCAATAAATAAAATAATATTTCGTAGGTACTTCTCTATAATTTATTATATATTTTTTTTTACCATAGTATATGGAATTTAGAATTGGCAAGTGCATTTAAGAGGGAGCAAAAACCCAGCTTGACGAGAGCCTTGATTCGAATGTCTGCTGCTCGATATATGTTTTATGGATTTTTACTGTTCGTTGATAAAATTATATTGAAGTAAGAATTACATAACGACTTTTTATCGTAATTTAGATAATAATATCATCAACAACTTGATGTAGGTACATTAATTTTAGGATTGCGGCAGTTTCTTAAATATGTTTTATGATAATCCGTTACCTAGATAGATATGAATTTCAGTTACTATATACTTACCATATAAAGAATCAAGTTTAATTTACACAAAATAATGGTTTTTTCATCAAATTCAATATTTACATGATTCATATTCACATGACCACATAAATTACCAAACAATTAACACGTAATTTTGGTGTTGTAATTTGTTTTTCATAATGAGAATTATATTATATTTTACTATAGCTTTTATATCAGCTGTTATACTCGGCTTATTCAATACAAATTTAAATATTTACGAATATTAAAAATATAATCATTAATACCTAACTAAAAATAGTAAATACTAAAAACTTAACTTTTATAATTTAGTAAAAAATAATTTAAATTTTTTAGAAAAGTCAAATTCACCAGTGAATGAACACTTAAAGTGTTATTATTTGATCTCTCACTTTATAAAAACATTAAAAATACAATTTTTGGCTATATTTTTAAAAATAATTCTTAAATTCTTATGAAAAACTTAAAATTTAGTTCATATACTGAAAATGTAATATATTTGCAAAAACATTTTATTAATTTTAGTATAAATACATATACCTATCTGATTTACCAATGAATGAACACTACTATTTTGGGAATGAACATTTAAATTCCAATGAATGAACAGATAAGTAGGTTTCTATTGAGTTACCTATTAAAAATTAAAATATTTAAAAACAAATTAGAGAATTTTAATTTTATTTCTTCTGAAGGCAATTAATACTAGAATTAACAAACAAGAAATCGTAATCTTCAAATTAGTGTATAATATACTTAAAATTAAATCTTAGGTACCTATTAAATTTTTAGGTAGATTAAAATAATATTCTTTAGTTACTAGGCTGGTAACTATGGTAGCAGCTAACATAATATGGTACTGTCCTGGGTAGCTGGGTGTTATCTTTGGTAACTAGGTTCTAAATAATTCGGTTCTTTTTCCAAATTATTTTTACCTACGTTTGCTTCTAGTAAATAGAGCTAGGTTTTTTTTGGTGACAAAATCAGACTTTGTAGGTACCCAAGATGAAGCTAGAAGACTGGTTGTTCATTGCCGTTTAAACTGATTTTTTGTGTTAGTAGTTACCTAATTAAAATTATTAATTACCTATAAATAATTATTCATAAATTATAAGCTTTGAATAGGTGTGTTCATTCAGTGGAAAATGCAATCGTAATGATATTCCAATGAATGAACACCCCGTTCAATCACTAGCTACTCATCACATACAATTCTTAGTGCGAACACCCAAAAAAAACGACCAAAAAATAGTTAAATCATTAATTTGAATCCAAATTCAAACTACAAACGGATACAATACTACAATATGGTATACTATTTCTTACCTTAAGTATACAATTAACCGTAAATAATTACGTTTATTTAATAACAAGTTCTGATAATCCTTCTAAGAAACGTGGATGTGTGAAAGTGATAAAAATTGGAGGGAAAAAAGTAATATCATTATTTCCCAAGTTTAAAATTTGTTTAAAATTGGTCACACAGTGTTGCCATCTTTGAATATTTTTTATATATTTTGATTATCAGTTTATATTAAATCATGACTGCAGTATGTACACTTAGTTATGAAAAGATTAATGTGTATAGCCGTATATAGGTGTGTTATTTGTTGTTGGTTATTTTATATTTATTAAATGATTTGGTTAATAGATAAATTAACCATACAAATTAGATAAATTTACAAAAAAAAAAAAGAAATCGGAAATTGTATATAATAATATGTACGTGCGAGTAGGTTGGATATTAAAAAATTTAAAAAGTAGTTATACTTACATATTTGTGTATATTTTAAAGTAAAAAACAACAAAAAGTGTTAGTATATTATTATATATTGAAATAAATCGTTTGTGTGTGTGCTTTCAGAATGTCTCAACCGCTATTTATTGGAGGAATATTAGCGTATTTCAACCCAGTTGGTTCCGAAAAGGCTGACTTAGGATATGCATACATGTGTGCATTTGGCCTAGTGTTTAGCATGTTCACTTCGATGGTCTTGCAAAATGTAACACTGATAGAAATATTACACTGCGGTATGAAAATGCGAATCGCTTGCTGTTCGATGATATTTAGAAAAGTACATACATACATAATAGCTATACAAATATTTTATATATATATTAATTATATAAACGCACAAATAACATGTACTTATAGTGGATAACAATATGTAAGACTATTTAGTTAGATGTAACCCCGTTATTCAATGTCCCAAACGTTGAAATAAGAAACGAATTATATAAACTATTGGGTGTAAAAATGTTGATTGAACATTGTGACATACGTGTTTAAAATAGGTATTTATATAAAATAATTCGAATCTCGGAACTTTTTATAAAAAATGAATAGTAATTAGTAACAATATATTTATTTTATTCACAAGTGCTTTAAATTTTAATACAAGTGTATACTGTTCTATGAATTTCTAAAAGATATAGTATTATAGTAGGTACCCAATAACTGTAAGCAAACTATGTTTTATTCAATCTTCAATAAAAGAAAATACTGTTATCATCTAAACTTCTTAAAATCTGGTTCTAAATTTAGTATTTATTTTTTTTTTTAATATTATGAATAATGATTCTTGTTGATCTAATACTTACTAAAAGGTTCACATAAATAATTCTAATAATTTTCTTTTATTTAATCAAAATTTTTAAATTATATTATTTTTTTTATTTACATATCCACTTAGGCTATGGGTGGGTTCTTAACTGTGGGGGATGGTACTGTAGGTTAAACACGTGTGTTTTGATAGTTTGGAAGATTTTTTAGTGGGCACCCGTAGGTATCTGCCATGCCCGGGTAGGGGATGGCGGCACTTGTTCTCCGGACATCGTGACTTGCCCGAAGAAAAATTCCACCCTCAGCCAAGGTTTTGAAGTCGGAGAGAGTCGCAACCGACGCCTTAGTTCGCTTGACCACTCCATCCCCCAAATCATATTATTTAATATTTACAAGTTTTTAAAATACATCTACCTAGTCGTTTTAAAAAAAAAAAACTAATTATGACTAAAATTAAAAATATTTTTGATCCTTACAGTCGCTACGTCTGAGTAACACTGCTATTGGTGAAACCACTGTCGGTCAAGTGGTAAATTTATTATCCAATGATGTAAATCGGTTCGATAGAGCCTCGACATTTCTTCACTACTTATGGATCGGTCCTCTACAGTCAATTGTGGTCACATATTTTTTGTGGCAAGAAATAGGCGTATCTTCATTATTGAGCATTGCTGTCATGATTCTAATAATTCCATTTCAAGGTTTGTGGAATGAGAACTATATAAATTTACTAGAAAAATGATGTAGGTACATTATGAAACAATATCGTTAAATTTCTAGGATGGCTTGGGAAAAAAATTTCCGAAAATCGACTGAAAACTGCCAAAACAACCGACGAGAGAATACGTTTAATGAATGAAATCATTTCTGGCATTAAAGTAATTAAAATGTACACTTGGGAAAATTTATTTTCAAAATGTGTAAAATATATAAGAAAGTATGTTTTTATAAGTCTTATAAGATTTTATCAAATAATATATATAGGTACATAATATACATGTTTTATACGTATATAAATGTTTATATAATTTTAGAAAAGAAATTGAACATGTAAAAATATCATCATACATCAGAGATACATTGACGTCGTTAGCAATAATTCAAACAAGATTTCAACTATTCATTAGTATTTTGTCATACGTACTACTAGGAAATTATATTACCGTACAAAAAGTAATGAATGATGTTCTCTATTTTGATATGATATCATGTTATAATACGTTTAACACTTTTAGATTTTTGTCATAACCACATACTTCAGTATATTAATGCCCACAATGACATTTTTCTTTTGTCAAGGTCTGGGACAAATTTCAGAATTGAAAGTTTCAATAAACCGCATACAGGTATTCAAATGATACAAACAATTATATTTATTAAGACGTAACAATAACTTGTTAAAATTAAAAATGATATTGACCATAAAATTACAGAATTTTTTATTGCACGAAGAAAAAGATGATCGTATTATTATACCAACGCGTCCAAAGCCTTCTATTTCCGAAAAACCAATGATGACAAGTCATAACGAAATAACAGAGCCTGATAATAATAGTACCAACATAAAAGATGACATCGGGAGTTTAAATCATTTTTGTATGGTCATTTCGAAAGCTACAGCTAAATGGACAGACAATCAAACCAGCAATTCTTTAGAAAACATATCACTGACTGTAAGACCTGGTAGCTTGGTCGCAATCGTTGGTACCGTAGGATCGGGAAAAGTTTGTGATATTTTAATCTTTGCCAACGTTTTTGTGAAATTGCCACTATAATATTTGTATTACAGAGTTCTTTAATTCAAGCAATTTTACGAGAATTGCCACTTTCTGATGGTGCCATACATGTGCGAGGTGTCATTTCTTACGCGTCACAAGAACCGTGGATATTCGCTGGATCTGTTCAACAGAATATTGTGTTCGATTCACCAATGGATAAGGATCGTTATAAACAAGTAAATATTTGCCCATTATATTATAATATGCAATCTGTTTATTTGCGAGTAAAATTTAATTTTCTAATTTGGTTTCTGAAATAGGTAATACAAGTATGTACATTGCAAACTGATTTTGAACAGTTTCCGTACGGCGATAAAACAATCGTGGGAGAAAGAGGAGTTACTCTAAGTGGTGGACAAAGAGTTAGAATAAATTTAGCCAGGTAAATATGCACATAAATACACCAGATAAAATATTTATTGTTTTATATTGAGAGACACATTTTCTTTCAGAGCTTTATACAAACAAGCGGATATTTATTTATTGGATAACCCTCTTTCAGCTGTTGACGCGAACGTTGGAAGTCATTTATTTGAAATAGGCATAAAAGGTTATTATACAAAAAGATTAAATTATTTAACTTTAATAAATCTTACATTAATTGAATAGGGTTCCTTAAAGAAAAAACTTGTATTCTTGTTACTCATCGATTGCAGTGTTTAGCCGATATGGATCAAATTGTGGTCATGGAAAATGTAAATATTAACATTTTAATTATAATCACTTATACGATTAACGGAGTTTCGTTAATTCTAGGCAAAAATATTAGCAAAGGGTACATATGAAGAACTTCAGGCGTCTAATATAGACTTAACAAATCATATTCAATCTTTAAAGTTACCAAATAATGAATATGCCATTAGTAATGAAAGCATTTCAAGTTCTGAACAAAAGTCTACTTATGCGTCTGTGGAAAGTATCAAATTTTCCACTAGAGAAAGTAATTACAGTGAAAATACAGCAGAGCCCACTGGAATGATTGAGCCCCGAACTTATGGAACTGTTTCATATGCCGTTTATTTATTATATTTTTTGGCTGGTGGAAAGAAGTTCAAAATATTGTTCTTTATTTTTATCTGTATTCTCACTCAATTATTGTCTTCTGTGGGAGATTTCTGGATAACTTATTGGTAATGTAAATGTCCAGATAGCTTATGAAGAATAAAATATTGACCTTTTACAAATTTAGGGTCAACTTAGAAGAACATGTTTTTCAAAATGAAAGTAGCGTGTCTACATCAATACTTGATGATTCATTGAGTAATATTTGGTGGATGACAATTTCTCGACAGACCTGTATAAATGTTTTTGGATGTATCACACTTTTCTTGATTATAATTACGACCATCAGATTAATTACATTTGTATCGATTAGTATGAGTGCTTCTATACATTTACACAATAATATGTTCAATACTTTAATCAGAGCAACGATATACTTCTTTAATACAAATTTATCAGGTATTATGTATTAAAAATTTGTTTGATCTTTTAAAAGGTTTATATGAATTTTTTGTTTAGGTTCTATCCTTAACCGTTTTTCAAAGGACATGGGAACTATTGATGAGATGTTACCTGTATCATTGTTAGATTGTATACACGTAATTAAATAGTACATTTCTTTTATAGAAAATAGATACCCACCTAAAGGAACAAAAATATTTTTTAATATAAATTATTATTAATAGAATGGATTGAACCTATTGGGAGTATTGACAGTTGTTGGAATTATAAATATATATCTTATGATTCCAGCTATCATATTATCAGTTATTTTTTACAAAATCACCGTTTTTTATTTGTCATTATCACGGAGTGTTAAACGATTGGAAGCAAGTAGTAAGTAGAGATAATAAAGTGTAATAATTACTATTTATAATTTATTTTTTAACATATTATTCATTTTGTGGGTTTTGTAATGAACAAATAATTAGCACGTAGTCCTGCATTCACTCATTTGAATGCAACTATTCAAGGTTTAACGACAATAAGGGCATTTAAAGCTGAAAATATATTGTCAAAAGAATTTGATAATCACCAGGTAATAAGTTATAAATATAAAAATGTCTCATATTATAGGTATTATAGTATGTGAAAATATTACAGGACTTACATTCGTCGGCGTGGTATTTATTTATAACATCAAGTAGAGCGTTTGCCTTTTGGTTGGATTTAATTTGCTTTATATATACAAGCATAGTTACATTTAGCTTCATAGTAATCAGTAACAGTAAGATTATTATAAATGTATTGCTTATGATACATTATTTAAAAAAAATATATTTGCTAATAATAATTAATAATCGTACTCAGCCACATTTGGAGGAAATGTTGGCCTAGCTATTTCACAAACTTGTGGGCTAGCTGGTCTGGTGCAATTTGGCATGCGACAAACAGCGGAATTAGAAAATCATATGACGTCAGTTGAAAGAGTTCTAGAATACACAAATGCTCCACAAGAATGTTTGTTTGAATCATCTACAGGTAAATCAGTTGTATTAATTGAGTTGATGAATACAGGTAGATATAATAATTATCTTGACTCAAGGTAGCATTTTATTCTTTGTTTAATCGAATACAAAGTTTGTAAAATTTGAAAAATCACATATAGTTAAAAATTCTGAGTGAATATGGTCGTCCGCAAATATTACTATGACGTATACTTCGTGATATGTTTTTTGATATTGCTCTTAAAGTAATTTGATTGATGAACATCATTTTTTTTATTTTTTTTTACTATTTTGCAACTTGGGAAGAAAATTGTCTTACATTTTTAAATCTTAGATTAAATATTAAACATTTTATAAATTAGTAATTACAAAATAATTTGCAAATTTTCACGATTTTGCTGAAATTTATCAAAATTCTATATTCAAACGCTCATAAAAAATGTATAGATTTACGGTGAATTTGCCTTTTTGCCATGCAACAATTTTTTATCGTTATGTATTGAAAAAAAAATTTTAAATCGAAGACGGTCACCTAATAATTATTATTTCATATTTTTTCTTTCCGAAATTATTTTTAAAAACTCTCAGGATTTTCAATTATGACCTCCTAAAAGTACCTACTACATCTAATTTTCTAAAAAAAACCCACATTGACGTTGATATTTAGAGTATTTTTAAAATCATACATTCATCGCTCAACTCAGAATTAAAAAGGTGCTCTGCTGTACAGTAAGTTACAAGTGGGTCACTGTATAATGGATGGTATTAAATTTTAATTCAATGAAATAATATCATTGTATAAAAAAAATGATTCTGAGCGGAGACGGTATGTCAGTCTAGGTATAAGACATATTATATACATATCTATGGTATTAAAAAAAAATTGACCTATAATAGGTACATATAACAAATTCAAAATTAATCATATCACAGTGTCCATTAGGAAGGTACTTATAATACGTTATACATCAATAACAATCCTTGATACTATCATAGATATATAGTAGTATATACTTTAGAAGTTTCAAGTACCCACGAACAATATTATACAATCACAGCAAAAAAACTAAAATAGTTATTCTAGGTTTTTTAATATGTAATTTCGTCCAAATTTGAACTTAAAATTACTATAAAAATAAACTGTGTTTATGTATTTTTTAGATTTTTTGGTAACATAATTAACTACTTACGTGGAATCTTGTTTTAAATGTTCAATCCTTAGATATAAAAGTTGAACATCTTGTACATTTTTAACTACAAATAATTATTCAAATTTTAAAATTTGATGAATTTTGTCAAAATTCAATCTTTAAATGCTTATAAAAAAAAATTGTGAAAATGTATATTTAATATTTTTTAACTGCCTTTGTAACAATATATCAGAAGCCTCTTGTTAAATTTTTACATTTTTTGGCTCAACAGATAAAACTTTATTGATATTCATATAAAAAAAAATATAAAATTGAAATATGAAATTGTCCGTTAAGAGCTCAAAACAAGTCAAAATATTTTGAAAATTTTATCAAGTATAAAATTTGATAAAATAAACATTCAGTGAAATTTTCATGTACCTACAGTTATTCGTTTTTAAATTAAAACAATAAAAGAAAATCGCTACAAGATAAATCGATTGAATATTCAATGTTGTAAAAATTTGAATTTCAAACGCTCATAAAAATGTAGTTTGACTTTCTTAAGGACATTTTTTTTTTGATAAAATTAGATAAACTTATAAGGAATCTTGTATATTACATTTTAAAATCTTAGATTTAAGAAGAAAAATTTTTACGAATTTTTAACTCAAAATAATTTGCTAATTTTCGCGATTTTTCCATGTTTTGTCAAGATTTGAACTTTAAATGATTATAACAAAAAACTGTGACTAAGGATTTTTAATGTTTTTCAAATTTCAATGTAACAATATAGTAGGAGCCTTGTATTAAATTTTCAAGTATTTTTACTCGACAAATAAAGTTTTATTGACATTCATAGAAAAAAAAAACCAATAAAATTGGAAACTGAAAATGTCCCTAAACAGTTCAAAATAAATCAAAATATTTTGAAAATTTTATCGTGTATAGAAAATGCAAATATAAACAACCAGTGAAAATTTCATGTATCTACGGTCATTTTTTTAAAGTTACACCAAAATCCAAAATCGATTTTGTCAAAAACTGATTTTGAGTAAAAATTCCCGTTTTTTCTTAATTTTTATTTTGTTTTCCCGGCGCTTTTGAAAACTCCCAGGTCCCTTTGACCTCCCAAAAGTACCAACTAGATTCAATTTCCCATCGAACAAAATACTGAAGTGGAAAATCGAAGCATCATTTCGATTACTAATCGTGTACACAGACACAAAAATAAAAAAACACACATCATTGTAAAATCAATACATTCATCGTTCCACTCAGAATCTAAAATTTAAATGTATATTTAATATGCTAATAATTGTTTTGCTCCAAGTTGAAAATGAAAAATAATAAATTAATAAAACACCATGATCTAAACTGAATGAACCATAACATGTTTGTTTGTATAAAATAAGTTATGGCGTGATTAGTGTTTACTTATATGTTATAAGTTTTAAGTGTCTCTATAAGATAACATTCTGTATTTATTTTTTATTTTTAGATAAATTGCTTTCATCAAAATGGCCATCAAATGGAAGTATTACATTCAAAAACTTCTATTTACGATATAGTCCAAAAGCACCATATGCAATTAATAACTTCAATGTATACATCGAACCAATGCAAAAAGTAAACCTTGTTAATGATCTATTCACATTATAAAATACATTATTGGAATTTAAACATTTTACTTATAGATAGGAATCGTTGGTAGAACAGGAGCGGGAAAGTCGTCTCTAATTGCAGCCCTATTTAGATTGGCTATAAATGAAGGTAATATCATAATTGATGACATTGAAATACATGAATTGGGACTAAACATTTTGAGATCCAAATTCTCCATCATTCCTCAAGAACCAGTATTGTTCTCTGGAACAATGCGAACAAATTTAGATCCGTTTGATAAATACTCGGATCATGTTCTTTTAAATGCATTAGATGAAGTAATTATCGTCACAGTTTAATACCTATTTTATTAAAAGCAAATAGATTCAAAATCTCTAATCTCATACAATATATGACAAATTTTCATTGAGTTTAAATTATAAATCAGGTCGAGCTTAAAGATGTTGTTGAACGTTTACCTAATGGTCTTAACACGATAATGTCCGAAGGTGGTTCCAATTTCAGTATTGGTCAAAGGCAATTAATATGCCTGGCTCGAGCCATTATTCGATGTAATAAAATTCTTGTACTGGATGAAGCCACTGCTAACGTCGATCCACAGTATAAAATTACACTTATTTTATTTTAAATTTATCTATTATTAACAGGGCATCAAACATTTAATTTTAATTAAACATTTTAGTACAGATGCATTGATTCAAAATACCATCAGAAGTAAATTCCGAACATGTACAGTCTTAACAATTGCACACCGTTTGAACACTGTTATGGATTCGGACAAAGTCCTTGTTATGGACAAAGGAATAATGGTCGAGTTTGACCATCCATATAATTTATTGCAAAATAAGGAAGGAGCTTTTTACAAAATGGTGGAACAAACGGGGCCGGTGACATCTGATTTTTTACATAGAATAGCTGAAGAGGTATACTACTTATAGTACAATTTTTACTATCTACTGAATGTAGTTTGACGTGAATTTACAAACTGTATTTGTATATCGTTTTAGAGTTACAATTCTATAAGTTTGGTGGCGGAACCAAAATCCGAATCATTTGTCAACGATGCAGTTGAAATTTCAACGAAAAATGTATAATTATCTTTTTTGTAGTGTCACATACTATTATATACTTTAACCATGAACTTGAATAATCTAAAATCATAATAATATATATTATGCATTTGTAAATTATTTAATATTTTTAAATGACAAAATATATAACTGAGTATGTATAAATTCTTTATATATTATGTTATTATTATTATTTTAATTCACTATATTTTATCTGATCATTAAGTATAATACGCTTAATATCATCATTGATTTAAATAACATTTAACTTGTTTGAAAAAAAAATGAAGATTTGACACCTTCCACAATTCACGTTATTCGTATTGTTAATTCCTTTATATGATTGTATGGAATATGTTATTATGTTAATTTTGTTACGAACAACAACAATAATTTATTTATTATACTAAATTTAATAACTATATTACACTTAAATAAATGTTACTTCCCTCTTAAAAGACTTCACTGTTCCTAAGAAAGATAATCATAAGCTACAAAATATTTATTTTTTATATAATATAATATTATTTGTGATATAACAATTTACATTTTGATTATATTATACATTATTATATTATCGTCTTTATATAATATATAATTATTATTATAGATATACCTATTTTTTGAATGTATTCTGCGTTATTAACCTTGTAACTTTTAAACAATTTGACCGATTGAAGTAAAGGTTATACCAACATATTATTCCTTAAGATTTGGAGGATATGGCATAGGTTTTTCAACTCCTATAGGCACCTGGAGGGTGGATCACACATTAATAAGTTTTTTAGCTCACGAAAATGGAATATTTTTTGTTTATTTATAATATTGCCATTGCAGGTTACATAATATATATATACATATATATAACTATTATGATTAGTAGAAATATGACATACACATACACATATACATGTTTTTGGTTGCAATTAGTTACTGATTACCATGATTGGTTAAGTACATAATTGTATACAGGGTGATTCTACTGTAAGTATGTCTCTACGACATTGAACTCCTCCTTAACGGCTGTACCGATTTTGATGAATTTGTGTGTGTGTCTTTGAGTTTGTCCCTAGATGGTTTAAATTTACAATTATACCCGGAGAGGTGCTCAAACATGAATTTTGAGATTTACGGATTTAAGAATTTTGAATATAAAAAGTTGCCATTGGTTAGGTACTCTGGCAGATGAGGGGGAATCATGCATCAAATCGTCATATTTATGGTTTCAAATAAAGAAATTATATCTTAAAACAAACATGATAGTTGAATGTACCTATGTTTTAGCTTATATAAGTACTTAAAAACTACTTAACCAATTTTTTAATTCACAAAGAGAGGTACTCCAAAACCATTATACACCTGTATAGCACTATATTTGATATTTTTTCATTTTTTCACTGGCAAAAAAACTCAAAAACTACTAGACCGTTATCAATAGAATCCTTGAGACTTGGGGAATTTTTATATCTTATTTTTTCAACTCCTATATGTAGCTAAAGAGTATCTCACACATTATATTTTTTCAGCTGACGAAAAAAAAATAAATATTTTTTGTTAATTTAATGGTTGCAATATTGCAGGTCACATATTATTACATTATTATTATAACTCGAAGAAATATGGCATAAACATTTTTTACAAGTATGCATATTCATTAAAAATCCAAATATATCTCAAAACAAATATGAGAGATTAAACTAATGTATGTTCGTAGCTTATATACTCAAAAACTACTTGATTGTTTTTTGTGAAAATGTAAAATTGTTGTAGGATATATCAGGAAAGCTTAGAGAGAAGTTTTATCTACTTTCGATTTATAGCAAGTGGTGTATACATCCACCACAGGCGAATTGTCCATCTCGCCTGAATAAGTTCACAAAGCACACATTCACTGTACGTCGACGCCAACTTGGCCTTGAACTGAGGTACATTAAAACCAATAGAAACCACTATACAGGGTGCCCAGATGAGGATATACCCATTCTAGCCGTAGACGCGGACTCGCCGCCGGGACAAAAACCGGTATTTTGCTGTTTTATCAATAAACTAAAAAATGATTAAAAATCATGAGATTAATGTAAATAAAATTAAACTGTAAAATTGCTACCTTCAATTGTTTTAAAAATTTAAAAATTAAAAATCGCATTGTCTAACTATAATTAAATTAAAAAAATAAATATCTGTAGTCTTTGTCTTTGAGTCAGTCTAATAAAAAAAAACACATTTATGATAAATGTATTATCTCAGGAGATATCTTAATGGGTAAATCCTAGCTGGACACCCTGTACAGCGCTAGGTACCTATTTATCATTTTTACACTGGCTATGTTGGTTAATACAGCTAAAGTTGGTTTATTCGAAGTCAATAGACTGTTCAATACAAGTTGTATCATTAGCAGGCACGTACTGGGCAATCGGCCACCTGTCAGATGCACGATGCACCCCATGAAAATTACAAAGCATAATGCTCCCTTCATGAAAATTTTAACACATTTTATTTTTTTCCCCTAAAACCATGGACTAAGATAATCTTTTTGATCTTAAGATTATAATATCTTAGTTCGTGGTAAAAACTGAATAGTTAAAGTTTGAAGTTTTAAACCTAGCCACTAAACCGTTAATAAATTCTCTAAGAATTACGTAATCATAATTATTGATAATATTATGAGTTATAAATATTTAATAAATAATTTATTTACGTTACACCGTACACAATTATATGGGGTATGTGATATCCATATAATAATATTATTAAATTATTAATAATATATATATTAATATATATATATGTTTCTTCTGGATATAAATGGTTTTTATTTTTGTTTATTCTTTCCCCGAAATTATGAAGTACATAACTGCAATATTATACTATAATATTATAATCCACACACCTACTAATATGCTATAATATTTTTACTTGATATGAAATTTAATAAATTTTATTATAAAATATTTTCTGATATGCACAACAATTCCTAGATACCTAGAGTACAGAATGACTGGAAAAATATAAAATTATTTATATCACCTTTTGAATCTATATTTAATTATCATTTTATTGATGGTTATTTCTCCTGGTGAGGTGACACACTAACCCTAGGGCTAGTCGTAGTCGCGCAGATAATTTTTTTTTTTTTTCATTAATTATCCCGCACAACTTAGGCCATTGGGAGGGGGGTTGGTACTGTAAGTTTTTAATGGTAGGTGAGTATTACATGTGGGTGTATTTTTGGCAGAATTTCGAATGGGGCACCCGTAGGTTTCTGCCATGCCCCGGAGTGGGGGATGGCGGCACTTGTTTTTCGGACACCGTGACTTGCCCGGAGAAAAATGCCGCCCAGTGGTCGAGAATTGAACCCGTGACTGCCAGCGCCGCAGCCGACGCGTTAGACCGCTCGGCTACCTCGTCCCCCATTGCGCAGATAATACTAGCAAAGCTTATCGTGTATACAAATTACAAGTGTACAACGATGTGCAAAGTCCAAGAAACATCTAATATTTTAAGTTGACATTTTATTATTTAGGTAAGTATTTTTTGTCAATATTATCCAGTATATGAACTTTATTTCTAGTAATTTAACATTTAACTTTTTACTTTTAGTAGATCATCATAATTATCGACATTTAAAATAAGATATTTATTTTTGTTTTTGCTGCCTTTTTATTTATAATATAAAAGGCGAGGTTACGTATTTAAAATACAATGAATTTTGAGATTTTATATTTATCAAACAGTACCTACCTATATAATATATGTATATTTAAAATTATTTTAAACCAATAAAAATAATTATTGGAATGATTGTCTTATGTTCTTAATAGTCAAATAAGAATTTAAAATATTTTATTTCGCTCTTTTCAATACATATAATTTAATTATAAACAATAAATATAAAATGTGTATAACTATAACATTTTATAAAAACAAATATTCAAAACTAAATTTGTGCATTTATTGGTGAATGGTGTCGTCACTCTAGATTCTAGGGCCTAGAATATAAATAAAACGTGTTGGATTTTTTTTTGTAGGTACCTACCATGAAGAATAAAGATATCTTCATATTAACGTTTACTGATATTGTAGCTGAAATGGACTCTAAAAGAAAAAGAGTGGTCATGAGTTCCGTGCAGCAAAAAAGAAAAATCATCTTCTCTATCGATTGCTAGCACTTCCCAGAAAATTAATTCATTTTTTAGCAATTCATGCAATGTTAGTGATTTAGAAGTTCCAATAGACAATTTTAAAAAACACAAATAACGAAACAAAAGATTATAAAATAGAAGTACAACAACAAGAAAAAGACATCGAAACAATACAAAATTTAAAAAACATGAATAACGAATTTATTTATTTGTTTGTAGTACAGAGCAGCTAACAATACTAAGAAAATACTAAGAATTTTTAACCTGTAATCTAATGTACTTTCACTTCTAGCCTATAGATAGGATTTAATAACAAAAATTAAGGAGCCCTTAAATTTTTTTTGCAACCGCCCCCATAACAGCTGCCAGTACGGGCCTGATCATTAGGTTCATATTATTGAGACGTTTATGCCGGGTTGCACAAAACATTTAATGAATCAATAGTGAGCTAATGATCCCTTAAACAAGATTTAGTGGCCCACGATTAGTCCATTAAATTTTCATTGAACCATTAAATGTAATATATTGTTTATTCAACCCAGCATTAGGATGATATAGACGGATATAATAGTATTAACAGCATATGAAAATAAAAATTGTGCAAATTTCAGCGATAGTCATGAAAATGCTAAATGATGGCAACATAAAAATTAGTTATTATTTTTTTTTTTTTAGTGGTGCTGGAGAAATTGTCTACTAGCACCTTCTGTTACTTTTTACGGTTCCACAGATGTAACCGATGTCGTGCACATTGTGATGATGGTCATGAAAATTCATAAAAATCGAGTGCTAATATTATTAATATTAAAAATATGTTTACATGTTTGTTGGCGGCGCAGCATAGGTATGTCAATCAAACAATTCTGACTATAATAAAATCAA